TTTTGTGTAAATAATCCTATATTTAATTTGAATCGACAAACAATTTAAGATAAATTATAGCGATCCCGGTATTCCCTGTTATTGTTTAACTGTAATCCGGACTCGGTTCCGTAGATTCGTTGTTGTCTTATCTTCATTTCTATTCGTTACTCTTTGTTTTAGAGTTTTGGGTTGTGTTGGGCAAGTTGGGAATTAGTTGGTTGTGTTTTAAAGCTTTGAAATTTTGCCCAGGTTTTGGTCTCTCCACTCGAGCGGCGGTTTGACGCTCGAGCGGGCTTTTGTTGCTGCCTTTCCGCTCGAGCGGAAGTTTGGACGCTCGAGCGTGAATTTCCTTCTCTCAGCATTTTGGGCGTCTGCAGAAAATTCTGGGAGAGTGCATCCGGCGCTCGAGCGGATCTTTGGACGCTCGAGCGTGAACCTGTGTCTTACGCTCGAGCGGGGTGTTGTACGCTCGAGCGGACCTGTTTCTATAGCAGTCCGTGAAATCACCTTTTTGATCACTTTTTGATTTCCTTTCTCTCTCTTACTTTTTCAAAACTTCCATTGGAGAGCACCTCACTCTAAAACCTAACTTCTCTCTTAGGATTGATCTAGCTAGAGTGTTTTCCTCACCTTGGGCCTTTGTAAGAAATGTATTGATCGTCGAGGGCTTCGTTGTGATCCAAGAAATTTGGGATTTGGAGCACTTTGATTTCGGGTCATCTTCTCTAATTGAGTTCTCCATTTGAGGTAGGGATTCTCCTTGTTCTTTTACAATACTCCGTCTATAGATAGACATGTGGTATTTTTGTGTATTGCATGAAAATTGTATCATGTTGGATTTGTTTGAAATCATGAGAAGGAACCTAGGGTTGGGTGTTGAAAAATGATTAAGTTGTCATTGATGGTTGTTTGGGGCTAATTGGAGTGTAAATTAGCATGTTGTAGTTGATGGAAGAAAAAGGCCTAAATCATATTTTGATTGATAAATTAAAAATGGAGAATAGTGAACCTATATTGTAAATCGCTATTGTTGTTGTGAGTTATGGCTTTCTTATTGGTAGAAATTGGTTTTGTAAAACAAAAAGGGATGGATTTGGTTTTGTGACAACAAAGGAGACGAAGTTGGTTTTGTTAAAACAAAAAGGGAAGTGGAACTTGTTTTGTGAAATGGGAAAGGTATTTTTGAAATACGTACGAAAATTGGATTGTTGTTTCATGAGTGTTGAACACACACGTGTGGAATTGTATCTTGAACTATCATGCTAATATTGTTGTTGGGTTTGTGATTCATGACATTTGAGTCTTTTAATAGATGTACTAACTTTATGCATCTAGAGGTTTTGTCCTTGGTCATCGGTGGAGGATGACGCGGTTGTGTAGAATTGTCGGGTATGCATTTTACCATTAATTAATTGAACATCGTACGTGATGAATTGTTGAGATACATTGTATATGTATGCTTGTTCGGAAAGAGGTAGTTATGTGTCCATATACTTTAACACGTTGTTTGTATCTGGATGGTTTGTGTATATATGTTATACATGTCGGTTATGCCCTGTTGCATTTCGATTGGTGGTGTTACACTATTTGCGCTAATAATCAAAGGTAGCGTTACCTTCCAGCTAGCGCCTGGAGAACTGTTTGCGCTAATAATCGAAGGTTCTATACCCCTCCAGCTAGCGCCTGGTAAACTGGCTTGTTGTTAATGATGTTGAATGAGGTGTATTGTTGGCTTACTACGCACATAGCTAGTAGAGCGAAATGGGATTGTTGTTGTTTCGTTGTAACTGAAAATATCATGGATTTGATTGGTTACAGTTCGGAGGACTGAGTTACTCCATTGGTTGGTTGTATACATGTTAGTGGGTTGTAAATCTATATTTTTTTTACAAAGGTATGCATGTATAGTTGTGATGGTAATGGAAACGAACCAAAACGTCATTGTTGTCTTTTGGATAGTGTGGAGGAGAATGAGTGTTTTAAAGATAAACATGTTTGAAAAGGCACATCTGAGTATGTATAGGTAATGGAAGAGAGTATCGGGCTTAGTGAGATTACTTCCTAAGTGATTGTTAATACTATGAAAGACTGGGAATGGGGGTTAATGAAAGGAAAAAGGAAAGACAAACCACTTGTAGCGTTGAATGAAACGGTTGTTTTCGAAAAAGGTTTATATATATATATTTTGTATAAACTGTCACTTTACTATTCTAGTATGAGAATGAGTGTTCATGATCATAGCTATCTGTAAGTTGTTATTGTTGAGGATCATGTTGAGTTCCCTACTGGACTATATGTTCATCCCACGTTGTTGAATCTTTTTCAGGTATTAAGCAGGTTGAGCTGCAAGATTTGGTTCTACTTATTTACTGGCCACGGGGCCTCAGTTATGTTGGCGGAATGCCATTGTTGAAAAAGGGTTACACCCTTCTTCTTGTACCTTAAGTGATACAAGCCCAAGGGTAATTTATTAAGTATGTTCATGTAATATTTACTTTGCATACGAATGAGAGTATTGTTAATCACTTCTTCGGATTGAATGTAAAGTTTATTTCCGCATGTTATCCTTGAAATTGAATTAAGTTAATGAATTTAGTAATGACTTCGAGTAATATAAAGTGGGGCGTGACATAAATTACTATTTATGCTTTTATGTTTTATAATTTTTTTTTTATTTTGGCTCTTAAAATTTTTTTTTTATTTTTTATTTTGACCCTTCATGATTCAAGCTTTTTCAAATTTACTTCTAAAATTAATTTTCGTCCAAAATTAAACAAAAAATACTACATTAATAATCACATGACTTGAAATATATTATTATATTTAATCTACACGTCTATTCTAAAGTTAAATCTAAATATAATAATTTTTTTTTACCACATCTTTTCATCAAACACAATAATAATTATTTTTTGGAGATGACACGCCATCCTAGTGTGACTAACCTTCTCCTATAAAAAATTTGTAAATTTGGAAATCTTTTGTTACAGTACCCTCATTTGGCATGGGGTTACCAAACTAAAATAGTCATAAAATGATAAAATATATTAAAAAATTAATAAGATAAAATGTCATATCCAAATCATAGTTATTTCATTTTTTCTTTTACAAAATTCAAAAAAATCAAAAAATCCAATCCAAACAAGACTTTTTAATCCTATACTAAAATAATCAAAAAAAATTAAAAAGCTAATGCACTTTCGAAACGAAACCGGTGTATTATTCAAATAATTCACATTTTTAAATATGAAAATATCATTATTCTATGAAATGAATAAAAAAATTATATGCATGCGCTAACAAAAAGACAAAATTATAGTAAGAAAGAAAGAATTCAAAGTAATTTGGATGATATATTCTCGGACAACGCATGTAAATTGTATGCCTTCTCCAATGATTGATCAACAATTTGTTTTTCACTATTTTAATTTTTTTTTCTTTTTTTGGTATTAGATTATTGAGGTAGAGTATAATACAAATGATTGATAGGCTAGTAGGTGTCAACCTAGTTGGAGATATTTTTATTAAAAAGTAAATAATTTTTGTCCATTAATAAATATTTAATTTCCAAATTTTTGTTAAATACATTTCTAGATTGTTTGGTAGAAGTTCTTCGTTGGTTTTGGTGCACAGCCATGTAGTACTCCAAGTCTGTTCTTATTGATAGAGAGGGTGGGATTACGATTTTATGTTGAGTAATTGAGAAATATGAAGACATGAGGATTTGTGATTGACCTGAGATGTGATCACTTTATACTTTTTTAGTCATAACCACTAAAAAAAGAAAAAAGAAAAAAAAAGACATACATAATTAAAGTTAAATACCACCGCATAAAACATAATCAAACATTTCATTAATCTTAACTAAAATGCTTTAGTAAAAATTTTCTTTTATTTTTTTATCCCTCATAAATAATCTATATATGTAATATATTTATCGTTTATTTTTTGCTAAAAAAAGGCTCGGCCCGCAACCCGGGCCAGAGCCTTGGCCTTAGGCCCTAATCTGAGTAGGATTGGGATTGAGTCTGAGCCCCACTTTTCAGCCCAGAACTGGTCCGAAAAAAAGGTAGGAGCCCCGTGTGGCCGAGTAGTGGGCAGCTTAGCCCAAGCCCGACTAAAATTATACCCCTTTTGTCATATTATTATTCTTATGTTTAAAATTTTTTTTATAAAAAAATTTTAAAATTAATTAAAATAGTTTAGAAAATCCTAAACGAGCCCTTTAGAAATATAAATTTATTTATTATTATTGAGAGTGGTAAAGTTTAATTTACCCAAATAATAACAAATCAATAATATTAAATACCAAAAAAAGATCCAAAAAAATAGGAAGTGTCAATGATATTCATTTGGAAAGTGCTTCATACAGAACCAAATTTGAAGGCACCTTCCCATTTTCTATTTATTTATTTATTTACTTTTAGGTAATAATGCATAGATTTTTTAAGTAATATCCCATTTTCTATTTATTACGTTTCTCTCTCTCCCGCTCATATTTAAATGTTCGTACATAAATTACACATCTAGTCTAGTATTAAAAGCAAAGCTTCTCTCTCTCTCACACACACACCAACGATTCCAATCTTAGTTACCAACCATAGCTATTGAGAGACTCCCTAAAACCCAGAGCATCTCCAATGGTAGTAGGCATTTTACCTATCTAAATATTACTATAAAGTATATATTTTATTTTGCCTATCAACGATTTCATGTTTCTGCCCCAACCATGCTCTTTATTTTAGCTATTCATCCAAATACTATTAACTTTATAGAATGCCACGTCAGCAACAAAGATGGAGGGAAATAATCTTAATGATTAAATACATTTTGTCTAGCCTTGAAGGCTAGCTACATGTAGCTAGTGAATGTGAGCTGAGCCAAAATGCCTAAGCATATGCCTAGTGCATTGGAGTTGAAAAAAGTGAGTCATATTAGGCATTTTGACTAACAAGCATCATATGCCTAGTGGGTTGGAGATGCTCGTCCCATTTCTCCTTCGAAACATACCATATCAAATGGGTCCTTCACGTCCCTCCATCTTCTTGCCGTTGTTTTTGTCAGTGGTAGTGTGTATGTCAGCCTCACTTGGTAGCTCTAGTTCTGATTTGGTTGAATCAGAATTGGTGAAGGTTCCAATTTCAGAGTTCACAAATTCAGTGAGGTCCACCATCGACGTCGTACAGCAGGTGGCCACCCTCGTCTCCACATTCACCGAGTTTGCAAATTCAGTGAGGCTGACCATCGAAGTGGTACCACAAGTGGCCTCCCTCGTCTCCAGATTTGCCGAGTTTGCAAATTCAGTAAGGTTGACCATCGAAGTGGTACAACAAGTGGCCTCCCTCGTCTCCAGATTCGCCGAGTTTGCAATTTCAGTGAGGTTGACCATCGCAGTGGTACAAAAAGTGGCCTCCCTCGTCTCCAGATTCGCCGAGTTTGCAATTTCAGTGAGGTTGACCATCGCAGTGGTACAAAAAGTGGCCTCCCTCGTCTCCAGATTCGCCGAGTTTGCAATTTCAGTGAGGTTGACCATCGCAGTGGTACAAAAAGTGGCCTCCCTCGTCTCCAGATTCGCCGAGTTTGCAATTTCAGTGAGGTTGACCATCGCAGTGGTACAAAAAGTGGCCTCCCTCGTCTCCAGATTCGCCGAGTTTGCAATTTCAGTGAGGTTGACCATCGCAGTGGTACAAAAAGTGGCCTCCCTCGTCTCCAGATTCGCCGAGTTTGCAATTTCAGTGAGGTTGACCATCGCAGTGGTACAAAAAGTGGCCTCCCTCGTCTCCAGATTCGCCGAGTTTGCAATTTCAGTGAGGTTGACCATCGCAGTGGTTATATATATATATATATATTTAGCTAACACGAATGGAGCAAGTTAATCGGACAATCCTTCTCAATGGATTGCATTTAATTTGAATTCGTCTATAAAAATCCAATTTGATCCAATTCGATTTTTATATGTATATATAATAGGACAATTATATTTTAAAAATAATGGGCAAAAATAAGGACGTTGAAGATACAATTGCAATTGGAGCTTTCCATGCTATGTAGAATGGAATACCCGCATCCAACTCTTGGGACAATTGGTAATTCAAGCTCTAATAATGTAATGAGTACTAATCGGATCAGATGTGCTTCCATAAACTAATTTATTTTTATTTTGTTGGGGCGACCAGCTGTTAATGGCCAAGGCTTCATAGCACGTGACATGACATTCGAGAACACAGCAAGACCGCAGAAGCACCAAGCAGTTGCATTCCGATCAGACTCTGACTTGTCGGTTTTGTTTAGATGTGCTATAAGGGGATACCAAGACACACTCTACGCGCACTGCTTGCGCCAATTCTACAGAGAATGCCAGATCACCGGCACTGTGGATTTCATATTTGGCGACGGCACTGTCGTGTTTCAAAACTGCCGAATCCTAGCCAGGTTAGGCCTGCCTGATCAAAAGAACACCATAACCGCCCAGGGCCGTAAAGACCCAAGTGAGTCCTCGGGCTTCTCTATCCAATTCTCCAACATATCTGCGGAGCCAGATTTGTTAGCTTCATTGAACTCCACGTACACATACCTTGGACGACCGTGGAAGCTGTACTCGCGAACAGTCATCATGCAATCGTACATGAGCAACGCCATAAGGCAGGAAGGGTGGATAGAGTGGAATGGGAATTTCGCACTGGATACCCTCTTCTATGGTGAGTTTATGAACAATGGGCCAGGGGCGGGACTGGGTAGCCGGGTCAAGTGGCCAGGTTTCCAAACCATGAATGACTCTGCTCAGGCCTACAACTTCTCTGTGGGTCAATTCATTCTAGGAAATGGTTGGTTGCCATCAATCCAAAATGGCAACCTTGCACACTTTTGGGAGGCCAAGTGGGTACCCTCTACTAACGATTTCAAAATTGCTTCCCATAAACCACCTCACTGTACTGTTCAAACAGTGGCTGAAGTTATTGACCCCAATCGCAAAATATGGAAGCGTGAACTTCTCAAAGAGTGGCTTTTGCCAGAAGATTTAGAGGCTGTTCTTGCCATCCCAATTGCAGCGGTTAACAGAGATGATCTTTTAATATGGCACCATAATCCATCGGGAGTTTATTTCGTTACGTCAGGCTATGCCTTAGCAAAGCAGATATGCCACAACTCCAATGGTTCTAATAAGCCCTCCAGATCTCTCACCCTTAGTACAGATTTTTGGAATTCCATTTGGGCTCTTGATATCCCTCCCAAAATTCGTCACTTTTGGTGGAGAGTGTGTCATAATTTGTCGGCAACAAAGCTGGGTTTGTTTGGGCGTACGTGTGCATCTTCTGGTGAATGTCCTATCTGCAGGAAAGATGATGAATCTGTGGAGCATCTCCTGTTTGATTGCCCTTGGACAAAAGCTGTTTGGTTCGGTAGCGACAACAAATCGGTGATCTCTCTTTGCGTTTCTGAAATAGTTCCACCATGGGAGTATAGTGCCATTATCCTGGGCATTCGAGGACTTGCTTCCTCACACTCTTTATCTTTTTCCTGGACAGGCAGAAACAACAATGAAGCAGTACACTGGGTTGCCAAGGCTTGTCTTTCTAAGGCCTTACCTGTAAATTGGGCTGTATGCCCACCTGCTCCTCTTGCTTCCATACTTACTTTGATGTTTTCCATTATCCTCTTTAATTGAAAGTTTGGGTGTTAAAAAAAAAAAAAACCAGTGTCAAGTATACTGCGGGATTGGGGGTTTAAATTCTTGTGTGTTCCTTCCTAGTAGAGCTGTTAAAATATTATAAGCATACCATAATTGCATTACTAATTGAAAACGGGTTGAAAATCATTCTCTATAGTTTTCTTGGGAGAAAATTGTTGCAAATATTTTGGTTATTAAGACAAAAAATTCAGGCTTCTGTAAATTTTTAACAGAAATACCAATCTTCAAGAACTATGAGGTGTGGAATAGTCAATTAGTCAGTCGCTCCAGTTATGGGAAGATTATTCTCCTCCCGGAATCTGAATCATAATGTTTGCTAGTTTTTATGTGTTGTGTTTTTTTTAATTTTTAATTTTTTGCTTTTGACATATAGTATGAGGGGTATTCTTTCTTACTAAGATAGTTAGATATCTCGTTTTATTTCTCTCTAGAACGTGGAACCTTTTAACGCATGGCTTTGTCAGGCTCTTTAATTGTGTCTGGAGTATTTTCATGCATTATTTTTGTAACAGAAATGTTAAGTATCATGAAAAATCTTTCATGAAAATAATTATGAAAGTTTTGTAATCATTGGATTACACTTTAGAATAAAACACCACACACTAATCAAGGTAATCCAAAAATCATAAATCTTTCATAATCATTTTCATAAAAAAAATTTCATGATCCATAACTTTTCTATTTTTGTAATAATACACTACTTATTTACAAAAGAAAGAAAGCAAAGGTCCATTTATCATGATAACAATATATATAGGTTATTTTTTTTTATTTTATTGGTCATTGTAGTATATACAACTTCACCGTTGTCAAATTATGATATTTGTAACATATGATAAGTACCATATGTAACCTTATTTCCAAACGTCATAATTGAAGCATATAATATTTATTTCAGGAGAAGGTTTGTATCATAGAATTTTTTATTTTTTATTCACTACAACAAAAACACATTTTAGTGACACTATACTAGTGGCATGTTCTTAAAAAATGTCACAAAAAGAATATTTGGTAGCATTTTTTAGAAAAATGTCATAGAACCACAAACATATAAGGCTATAGTGGCATTTCAATTAAAAAAAATGTCACTTCACTACAATAAAAATGTCACTACAACAAATTTACACTTTAGTGACACTAGTGGCATGTTTTTAGAAAATGCCACAAAAATAAAAATTGGCATTAAATGTTTTAGAAAAATGCCACAGAACCACAAACATATAAGGCTCTAGTGGCATTTTAATAAAGATATGTCACATCAATTTTATGGCATTTTATAAAATAATGACAAAAAATTATGTTCGTGACATTTACCAACAGATGCCACTAAACTTTAGTCGCAATGGCATTTTTAAAAAAATGACAAGACACTAGGTAGGTGCAAATTACTTTTTATGGCACTTAGGTGAAAAGTGTCATAAACAAATATTTTTATAGCATTTTGAGAAATGCCACTAAGCCAAAAACTTTCTAAGCTTATAATGGCATTTTTGAAAAAATAAAAAATGCCAATATATTTTCTAAATTTTTAAAATGCAGTAAATGGTCGTGTTTCAAAACTGCCGAATCCTAGCCAGGTTAGGCCTGCCTGATCAAAAGAACACCATAACCGCCCAGGACCGTAAAGACCCAAGTGAGTCCTCGGGCTTCTCTATCCAATTCTCCAACATATCTGCGGAGCCAGATTTGTTAGCTTCATTGAACTCCACGTACACATACCTTGGACGACCGTGGAAGCTCTACTCGCGAACAGTCATCATGCAATCGTACATGAGCAACGCCATAAGGCAGGAAGGGTGGATAGAGTGGAATGGGAATTTCGCACTGGATACCCTCTTCTATGGTGAGTTTATGAACAATGGGCCAGGGGCGGGACTGGGTAGCCGGGTCAAGTGGCCAGGTTTCCAAACCATGAATGACTCTGCTCAGGCCTACAACTTCTCTGTGGGTCAATTCATTCTAGGAAATGATTGGTTGCCATCAATCCAAAATGGCAACCTTGCACACTTTTGGGAGGCCAAGTGGGTACCCTCTACTAACGATTTCAAAATTGCTTCCCATAAACCACCTCACTGTACTGTTCAAACAGTGGCTGAAGTTATTGACCCCAATCGCAACATATGGAAACATGAACTTCTCAAAGAATGGCTTTCGCCAGAAGATTTAGAGGTTGTTCTTACCATCCCAATTTGCAGCGGTTCAAAGAGATGATCTTTTAATTTGGCACCATAATCCATCAGGAATTTATTCCGTTAAGTCAGGCTATGCCTTAGCAAAGCAGATTTGCCACAACTCCAATGGCTCTTCTAAGCCCTTCGGATCTCTCACCCTTGGTACAGATTTTTGGAATTCCATTTGGGCTCTTGATATCCCTCCCAAAATTCGTCACTTTTGGTGGAGAGTGTGTCATAATTTGTCGGCAACAAAGCTGGGTTTGTTTCGGCGTAAGTGTGCATCTTCTGGTGAATGTCCTATCTGCAGGAAAGATGATGAATCTGTGGAGCATCTCCTGTTTGATTGCCCTTGGACAAAAGCTGTTTGGTTCGGTAGCGACAACAAATCGGTGATCTCTCTTTGCGTTTCTGAAATAGTTCCACCATGGGAGTATAGTGCCATTATCCTGGGCATTCGAGGACTTGCTTCCTCACACTCTTTATCTTTTTCCTGGACAGGCAGAAACAACAATGAAGCAGTACACTGGGTTGCCAAGGCTTGTCTTTCTAAGGCCTTACCTGTAAATTGGGCTGTATGCCCACCTGCTCCTCTTGCTTCCATACTTACTTTGATGTTTCCCATTATCCTCTTTAATTGAAAGTTTGGGTGTTCAAAAAAAAAAAAAAAACCGGTGTCAAGTATACTGCGGGATTGGGGGTTTAAATTCTTGTGTGTTCCTTTCTAGTAGAGCTGTTAAAATATTATAAGCATACCATAATTGCATTACTAATTGAAAACGGGTTGGAAATCATTCTCTATAGTTTTCTTGGGAGAAAATTGTTGCAAATATTTTGGTTATTAAGACAAAAAATTCAGGCTTTTGAAAATTTTTAACAGAAATACCAATCTTCAAGAACTATGAGGTGTGGAATAGTCTATTAGTCAGTCGCTCCATATATGTGAAGATTATTCTCCTCCCGGAATCTGAATCATAATGTTTGCTAGTTTTTATGTGTTGTTTTTTTTTTTAATTTTTAATTTTTTGCATTTGACATATAGTATGAGGGGTATTCTTTCTTACTAAGATAGTTAGATATCTCATTTTATTTCTCTTTGGAACGTGGAACCTTTTAACGCATGGCTTTGTCAGGCTCTTTAATTGTGTCTGGAGTATTTTCATACATTATTTTTGTAACAGAAATGTTATCATGAAAAATCTTTCATGAAAATAATTATGAAAGTTTTGTAATCATTGGATTACACTTTAGAATAAAACACCACACACTAATCAAGGTAATCCATAGATCATAACTCTTTCATGATCATTTTCATAAAAAAAATTTCATGATCCATAACTTTTCTCTTTTTGTAATAATACACTACAAAAGTCCATTTATCATGAAGCAAAAGTCCATTTATCATGATAACAATATATATAGGTTATTTTTATTTTATTTTATTGGTCATTGTAGTATATACAACTTTACCGTTGTCAAATTATGATATTTGTAACATATGATAAGTACCACATGTAACCTTATTTCCAAACGTCATAATTGAAGCATATAATATTTATTTCAGGAGAAGGTTTGTATCATAGAATTTTTTATTTTTTATTCACTACAACAAAAACACATTTTAGTGACACTATACTAGTGGCATGTCCTTAAAAAATGTCACAAAAAGAATATTTGGTGGCATTTTTTAGAAAAATGTCATAGAACCACAAACATATAAGGCTCTAGTGGCATTTCAATTAAAAAAAGTGTCACTTCACTACAATAAAAATGTCACTACAACAAATTTACACTTTAGTGACACTACACTAGTGGCATGTTTTTAGAAAATGCCACAAAAATAAAAATTGGCATTAAATGTTTTAAAAAAATGTCACAGAACCACAAACATATAAGGCTCTAGTGGCATTTTAATAAAGATATGTCACATCAATTTTATGGCATTTTATAAAATAATGACAAAAAATTATGTTCGTGACATTTACCAACAGATGCCACTAAACTTTAGTCGCAATGGCATTTTTAAAAAAATGACAAGACACTAGGTAGGTGCAAATTACTTTTTATGGTACTTAAGTGAAAAGTGTCATAAACAAATATTTTTATAGCATTTTGAGAAATGCCACTAAGCCAAAAACTTTCTAAGCTTATAATGGCATTTTTGAAAAAATAAAAAATGCCAATATATTTTCTAAATTTTTAAAATGCAGTAAATGATTAAAAATAAATAAATTAAACTCAATATACACTACAGGAAAAAGCACATTCGGCGACTAAATTTCCTGACCAAAAAAAATTTGGTCGCCGAAAGTATAGCTTTCAGCGACCAAAACAGCATTAGTTGTCAAAAGTAAAGTTTTTTGGCGTCTAAACAATTTTAGTAGCCAAAAGTCTACAATTGGCAACTAAAACTAAGTTTGGTCGCTGATTATATGGGTTTTAGTGACAAAAATTTTTTTAGTAGCACAAGGTAAAGCTTTTTGGTGACTAAAAAAATTTAGTAGCCAAACGTCTACAATTGGCGACTAAAAATAAGTTTGGTTATTGATTATATAGGTTTTACCGACTAAAAAAATTTTAGTAGCCAAAAGTCTACAATTAGCGACTAAAAAATAAGTTTAGTCGCCAAAAGTGGTCATTTTTAGCGCGGGAGAACTAAAATGCTAAGGCGGGAATTAAATTTTTTGGCAACCAAAATTTTGGTAGCTGAAAGTGCATCTTCGACGACGAAATCTGATTTTGGTCGGCAAAAGTTAAGTTTTTTTATAACGCCCTCAAAATAAACCCATAATTCATACATTCATGATACAAGAAACGGACAACACATTCCATAAATCAGAGTGTTTACTACAAAAGTGTTACATGTTGACAACAAAAGTAAATGCCCTACGAGCTTACAACTTTCCAAGTCAACACTTGGGTTCAACAAAAGAAGAGTCTAACTCTTTATACAAAATAAGCCATTGGCTTGATTTACATGTAACACAAAGATAACATCAAAAAGATCTTCCAGTCACTAGGCCTCCCAAGCTATGTCCTTGGAGGTTGCATATCACCTGAACCTGAAAATGATGTGTAACGCCCTCAAAATAAACCCATAATATCATACATTCAAGGTACAGAAAAGAAATATTATATTACAATCATCAGAGTATTCTTACAAAGTATATTACATGTTGACAATAAAAGTAATTGCCCTATGGGCTTACAACTTTCCAAGTCAACACTTGGTTACAAAAAGAGAGTGCTAACTCTACACAAAATAAGCCCTAGGATCGACATGCATGTAATACAACAAAAAAAAAAAAACAAAAGGTAATCTAACAGCCTCACGCCTCCCAAACTACGTCCTTGGAGGTGTCATCATACATGTACCTGAAAATGATGTCCCATATAGGGTGAGCCAACGCCCAGTAGAGATATGCTAAACATAATATGAACAATAACTAAAACATTAGCATTCGATAAATGTTTAACCTAGTTATATCCGCTTATAACACATTTCAACTCCATGACTAAAATGTCCATGAATTATTCCATTTTCATTTATTACCAATACTCAATTGACAACTATGGCTCAGAACCTGGCCAAACAATTTAAATGAGACTACATCTCATATGAACAGTATTTCTATTTCAGGTGAGATATAAACTCATATTCAACATTTCATACTTTACAATAGATACACATTTTGGTGCTATATCAATGTCAAACAAAACACTTCCATACTTCACAAATGATACACATTTTAGTACTGTATCAATAAAGACATAAAAACACTTCCATACTTTGTAAATGTTACACATTTCAGTACTGTATCAATAAAGACATAAAAACACTTCCATACTTTGTAAATGATACACATTTTAGTGTTGTATCAATAGAGTCCATCCCCTGTCTCTCCCAAACAAAATCCGGTTTAGAGGTCCATTCCCTATTTCCCCCTAAACCGTGGAGTACATCCCCTATCTTCTCTCGTACAATACAATGTATATAAACAATTATCATATACATGATCAATCAAAACACAAATTCGATGTATTATTCCAACCGTCATATTCAATGATATATTCAACCAATTGGTTATAATTCACCTAATCATCATGCAGTGTCTACAACTATCAAGACTATCCTCCACCGATAGTCCAAAGCAATTATTTCTAAACAGATAATAAATGCATTAAATAGATAATTTATCAATAATTTCAAAGGTGAGTGATTAAACAATCCAACTACACCATTTCATCTCACAACTACCCAATTTCATTATTTCCAACTCAATTTCATATTTCTATATCTTTCCAAAATTTATTATACAAATTAATAAATTAAAAATTAGGGCTTTTCTCCCTCCTTTTCCAATATTGACCAAAAGGCTCAAATATCATTACTAATCATCAATACCATCATTTTAAGACCCAAAATACACATGTATTGGTCAAAATAACAAAACCCCTCTTTATTCATTTTGAAACCCTAACGCCCAAAATTACTCAACTCCAACATTAAATCAAAATGACCAAAAGTTTATGTCAAAGATCATAAAAATGAGTAGTTATCCCTACCTCAAATGGAGAGACCAAATGGAGAAGATGAAGGATTTCGAAGGTGCTCCAAACCCAATAATTTTCGAATCAAAATGAAGAGCAAGCCATCCCTTCCTCTTCCTCTCAAGATTTCTCTTTTGTTCTCCTTCCTCTCCTTTAGTCGAATGTGTGTGTGTGTGAGAGTGTTACTAGTGCTTGCCATGCTAGGGAATGGTGATATTTATAGGCAAATATGGTGTAACATAGCATAGAAGCCCACTGGTTAGAATTGAAAAGTCAAGTTAGGATTTATTGGTTCATTAAAGCCCACTAATAAATACTAGTTGGATTATGAAAAGACACTAGTTGGATTATGAAAAGACACTAGTTGTCATAATGTATTAGCATTAGTCTTCTATACATTGTATATATAGGTATCAATGATTTGTCACCATCTAATTGATGTACATGTATCTTACTTAATGAGATGAATCTAGTATAATCATGCATAAGCTTCGAAAAGTTAGAGAGAGAGAGAATGGCCTGAAAAAGCGATCCAAAAAGCTATTTTTCGGACTGATATACAAACAGGTCCGCTCGAGCGTCAAAAGCCCTCTCGAGCGTGAAGCCCAAAATCAACCCTTGGTTTCCAAACACAACCAACCTATTTCAAACCTGCCCAACACGACCCAAGACTAATATACAAAGAGTAAAGGATGAAAACAGGAATAAGACAACAACACATCCACAGAACCGAGTCCGAAATACAATTAAACAATGATGGGAAAGTCGGGATCGCTATAACCTTCCCCCCTTACAGAATTTCGTCCCCGAAATTAGATAAATAAGTTTCAAAAATATGATTTCTCAATTCTCAATGATATTACAATTCAATATTTATCGACTTGACTCATTACCGGTCGTTCCATCTCGTTTCATGAGGCAAATTACAACATATGTTACAACATGCGTCATCAACATGCATTCTCTTGAAATTCAAAAATTTCAACACAAGTTTTCCACAGTTCAATTACATATTCAATGCCAATCAATATATTTGCATTTCTAAAACCGAATTAACATATGCAATGTTAAAATAAACTTCCATTTCAAGGCAAGTTCCATAATATTTCTATAAACCGAAACATATACAATATTTTACAGCTTAAGACATATTCA